GAGCAGACCCCGTTTCACATCCCAAATGCCGAGAAAGGAATCTGCCCCAACGGACATGAGGGTGTCATCATTGGGAGACCAGGCGATTTGGTGCACCCTTGCTGCGTGCGCCTTTAACTGGTGCACGGCTTGTAGACGCGGAAGATTATCCAGCGAGTCTATGCCGTGTTCCTGGACTTTTGAGGTCAGTGTGACATCGCAGTAGTTTCTGCGTATGTCATTCAGATCACTGCGCAGCTCTTGAACTTCACGCAACAGCTGCTGTTCAGTGGAGCTCTCTCGCATACTTTGCCCAGGTGGGCCAACTTGAAGGTCGAACGCTGATAGGTGCAGGTCATTCGAGCGGATAAATCAATACTGTCACGTGACCAATGAAAATGGTTCACCTTAATGAACGCGCATGCACGCGCAAACGTTGTTTAGAACGCGGGCCCTAACGAACCGAGTTAACCGTGTGCATAGCCTGGAGTCCCTTTTGGCGCAGATCCAGGATGATACTACTGATTTACTTACGTGTCATTAAAGATGGCGAAGGCTTCTCCTCTCACAACTGCTAAAATTCTTCGCGCAACGTTCGCCGTCATCTCCCTCCACACCCAAACGGACCATTCTCTTAGTAGACAGCAGATTACCTATCTTAATAAATGTTAACGAAAATGCCGGAATATGTTTGCGATACGAATAAATTACTGAAGTTCATTACGGCCTAGGATTCGTGTAACACGCCGACATATGCGAAGGATGTATGCACTCCCGCTTATCGGCATTGAGTATGGTTCTAATACTGATTATTTTGTAGTCTATTCTGAAATTATTTCAGCCACGATGGGTTGCCGGCTTTTTAACGAGCTTCGTTCTGACCGCTTACACAACGCATGTACTGTAAAATGAGACTACTTAAGTATTATGTATTTTTTATCATTGATTTTGAATGCCTTTATAAATACAACTATATTTTATGGAAAACGTATATGAAAACACCTTCTTGTCCTCGTTTGGTAGCAAATTGCGCCTTCTTTATATTTTATACTTAACGAAAGGCTATCTTTCGGTTAAAAAAGATTCTAAACTGCCGAATAATTTTTAAACCTTCTGACTGTTACACTTAATTTCAGGGTTTAAACAGTGCGCGCTGTGTACATACTGCTTAAAGAAAAGTACGTTATCGCCTACGGTTTTAGAAAAAACTCATAAAGTATTGTAACAGCTGTGGAACATGCTGTTTACATTATAGGAAACACTAATCAACTGAAGGATTTGATGTAAGGGAGAGAGAGAGAAAGAGAAGAATGCCATATTTAGGATTGAGAAATCCTGAACTTTCAGCATAAATGGCGTCATTCACGGAGAGCAAAGGATAAGGTAAATAAGGGGTCATGGTAAAAGGTCATGGAATAATCAAAATTAAAGCTGTACACGATATCCACATCTACTATGGAGACAGGTCAGTTTTCAACTTCTCA